CGGACCAAAATACGGCAAAGAAATTAGCGCCAGGAATGTACATGCATTCGCAATATCCTGAGATATTTTAAATGCGATCACCATTATGCAATTAATGAAATCTTTAACCTACCACTCTCTTCAAGCCAATATTCAAAGTACAATTACCAACCAATCGCTCCCTATGAACTAATATTCAGGTCGCAATCAACATGAGCAATCGCTCTCTGTAAGTGGGACAATGTCACATTCATTCAGGCCAGTCACCAATCAATCGCTCGCTATAAGAGAATGTTCAGGCCAAAATCCCCAAGCAATAGCTTTCTATAAGCCAATATTAAAACCGTAATCACCAACCTAGCTAGTGCTCTCTTTAAGCCAATATTAAAACCGTAATCACCAACCTAGCTAGTGACCTCTTTAAGCCAATATTAAAACCGTAATCACCAACCTAGCTAGTGCTCTCTTTAAGCCAATATTCATGCCGCATTGCCGCAAATAATGTATATGGCGCGTGTATCTTCGCTATATCCTAGCAATGATGATTAGCCGTACATAAGCTGCGCTCTATTGCTTATTATTACGGCCAAAGACATTTTCAATATACAATTTACATTAGTGAAAGAAATACAGTGCAACTATTATCATCGGAAAATTGAAATATAAATGATTGATAAAATATCATGATTATATATACATATGTGTACTGAAGTTTGCATGGCAAGTAAACCCAGACAACGAGTATCGTAGAACAATAAAGATCTAGAATAAGAAACATTCATCAATATCAAGTGTATATGTGATAACTTTAGAATAAATAAGAAGCAAGTAAAAATTCACCCATCAATAGATAAGGTGTTCAATAATGGTTCATGGTCAGTAATAATATCAAAGAAGTGTTTTTAAATTATTCATGGTTCTAATTATTTAAAATTTAAAAAGGGAAATCACTAGAAATTCAACTTATTGATTCTCGAAATTGTATGGTAAATCAATAGTAATAATGCAACGATTTCGGACAAATTAGTTTTTCCACCAATATTCAATACTACTGTCCATTGTTGTGAAGTAGAATCTTGCCGAATTGGGCTGACACGAAACATGTTACACTCAAAAAAATTATGGGTCATAGGGTCCAAATAGTGACACACTTACTTATCCACAGCACGAGCTGAGAGCAGACAGGGCATTGATTTGCGCTTTCACATGGTCAAAATAGGTCAGGATTATAGCCAGGGTAAAAATTTCATCAATATTTGGCCAAAGTCACCCTCATTTCTTTGAGTGCATCAGTTGGCCGTGCCAGAATCTACTCAGCGATGTCACCAGGCCAATAAAACTGAACATTAATTGACTGAGTCTGAGGATCGTCAGTTGAATGGAGCAATTGATGGAACTGAAGGCTTTGTATTCTTGTTAATATGCTATTTCATTGATAAGATCTCAACTGTTCGTATGTACAGGCAAGTATAAGAAATATGTAGATATTTCTATAAAAAACACAATAATTAATAACTAATCTTTTCGGTTTTTAGTAACAGCATTAAATTCCACCATGGGGAGCTCAGGTGGCATCGGATTTTTGAGAATTACACAACTATTGAGAACAAAATAATTCGGTTATCAAATCTTTTTTCGATACTCTCGAAAGTACTGAAGGTATAATAAAAGACTAAATAGAAGGCATAATAATAGATAGAAATGTCTAAAACTTTGTTCAAGCAGCTTTGATTGACATAGAGCAGAGGCGTGTGTGTGCATGGAGGCTCTAGCGCCAGATTACGTCTTTTGTGACGTCCAAATACCGCTTATACGTGGATCTCATCTGAAGCACAGGCGTCACGTACCCGTACAATTCTCTGTAAGTAGAAACGAATGATGGCCTAGGCTTCGAACATTTAGCAGGATAAAAACGGGTTTGTTATACAACGGGGATGAAGTATTGTAAATGATGAAAAGAAAATAGAATGTTTTAATATCAACGGACACTAACTGATGAAAACAGCTCTGTGTAGCGCTGAAACCTAAAGTTATTCGATTGCCTATTTCGTAATGTCAATGTGATTTTTTTTTGTACAGTCCATCCCTGTGACCGAGTCTCAGACTGCGACGAAGCATCCTAGTGTATCCTAAATACCCCAGGTTATTCTAAATACTCTAAGGTATCCTAAATATCCCAGGGTATACTAAATACCCCAAGGTATCCTAAATACCTCCAGGGTATCCTAAATATCCCAGTGTATACTAAATGTCCCAACGTATCCTATACATCCCAGTGTACACAAGCGGGCGGACACTCATAAATCTATCAGGGTCAGCACAATTGAGCAGTGGCGCTCGTCGGAAGGATGTGCACCACTCAGAGTATGCTGTGGGTCAGAGGGTCATTGAACCCTCGTGACGGACGAGCTATAGGGTTAGTAAGTGAATGAACGCACGGTTAGGTGAACGAAAAATATGAAATTTGTGATGAGAGCAAGTGTGAGGCGGAGGAGTGAAGAAGAATGTAGAAAGACACATCGGGCCACTGGAAAAAAATTGACCGGTTACGAGTCGTAAATATGAACGCATGAAGATTGGCCCTAAATGAAAAGCGGGGAAAGTGACGAACATGTAATCGATTCAATGAACGTAGTGGACGAAGAAACGAATAATGAGGCATGTGCACAAAAAGGTAATAAATTTAATAGACAAACAATCGAATAACAAAGCATGTGCACGCAATGCTTGTAGTTTCAGTGGACGAACGAACGAGTTGCATGGCATGTTCATGAAATAATAATAGTTTTGGTGGACGAAACAAGCATCGTTGAACATGAGCAGTGAACAGCAGAAAGCACAAAGCAGAGACTTGATTCAGGACATAAAACACTGTTACGCTGACCAGAACAAGCAAGGCCCGATTGCCATACATTGTCATATGAACGACAGTAACACAGAGATTTAGCCTGGGATGTATGAACAAACAAATATGATTGTTTATACCAAAAGATAAACGATATCATTACGCATTCAAACACACTTTATTGTAGAATAGGTCTTGCTATTGCAAGCAGGTGTATTAACAGTGAAAAGATGAGCTTATAGTAAGATTAACTCAATTCAACAAATTGTTTGAATTTAAGTTAACTTTACGCTCGTCAAGCGCAAAGATCCAGAAGACTGGGAATAGGTTCAGTTGTACCGGACTCAGGCAAGCACAATAGAGAAGGCTTCATAGAGAAGGTCAGCCATGACGCACTGCCCGTGTATAAAGCTTTTGCGTTCAATATTCTTGTATGGTGTATGTGTGTCACTCAGAATATTGACTTATTTAAAGCATAATTACCAAGCCAAACACAAATATGCTAGATTTCCAATCAACTGGAGCCCATGAGGAATAATGATATTTTTCTCAAGGCTACAATTAATAATAATAATTGCAAATTACAATTACCGAGTCAAACACATTTGTGGTAAATTTCTAATCACCTGGAGTATTTAAGAGATAATGAAGCGGGCTTGCAACTAATCACGGTGGTTTTTCAACGTTGTCACAGAATGCGTTGAGTTGACCACTGGTAGTTATGCTGTTGACACGGAGCGTGGGCCCATGAAGCCAAATCGCTCAACAGAAAGAAAACTATGCACAGACATTGCCAGTTAGCGTCAAAATTTAAATTCAGTGTTTGGATGTAAATAATTATACTTCAAACTCGTTTTATTGCAATTTCTCAAATATTTTAAAATAAAATCCTCTGTTTACTCGAGCGAAAATAAATCTAAGTTAAACATGCCAATAAGATGAGTTTTGCTAGAAAGATTTCAGCGGTAGTGAAATATTTGCATCGAAATACAGTAATTCAAACATGCCAATAACATATGAGTTACAGTAAGATGGTTTATATACAAATCAATAGATTAAAAGACTTCATGCTGGGTTTCCAAAGTAAATGCATGTGCGACTAACCACAATGTTTTTCAGAACGGGTAGAAGTAAAATTAACATTATATTCAAGAACAATAAACGTCAAAATAATACTCGTACGATCTTATCAAACATGTGACCAGACCGCCGAAACTTATTTTTACAGTCGTGAAAAGGCGTGCGTTAAATCTTTGATTTGTTATTAAAGCCATTAGACCAACAGCGCGAAAGTTTAAGCGTTTGCGTCAAATGTCACCGCCAGGGGGACAAAAGGTCTCGCTCGCACCGCTGAAGTGGCAAGTGGCGCTGAAGCCACACACTCTATGACAAAGGCAAGAGGGGCTTCATCCTGTAGTTGCGATGAGACGCAAGTTAATTGTAACAGTTCGTAACTTCGACCTCTCGATTTGCACAGAACACCGACAATTTTCTATTCCATCAATCGATCGATCAAAATTTCCATGGATTTTTTCCAACTAACAATAAATGTTATATTCACGGCAATTAATTTCAGCGAAGATTCACGTTCCTTCCGATTGAGCTGAAGCTACCGCACCCGACATCTAACGTTGAATCAACGTTAAATTAAACGTACTTCTGTTAAATCAGCGTCGCTTAAACGTCATTTGTATGTGAAGCCAAAGTGACGCTGGCTACCTCGGCGGCAGGTATTAGTGATCCACCACGGAAGGGTGTACATACACTTTATTACCGTTAAATCTGAAACGTCCTTTACTGACCTGCTGTACGTGAGCTACGCCCTCACTTGGTCATGTTTTAAGTCACTACTACCTATCTACTGTCAGGTGATCAGCGCTTGCATTGGACAGAATGATGAGATCCAATTACTTCTAGGTGATGAATGTTCGCCATTGGTCATTACGATATGTTGTACTCACCTCCAGGTGATGAGTGCTCCCCATCCCCAATGGTGAGCACGATGTGGTCATTGTGGTATACGCACCGAAATTTGATGACTTTTCAACGTTGGTCAGTATGATGCGTGGCTTTAACCTCCAGGTGATTATTACTCGCCCCTTGTTCACCACGATGTGGTGTACTCACCTCCAGGTAACGAGTACTCGCCATTGGGCAGCCTAATGTGTTGACTCACCTCCAGGTTAGGTGGGTCTTGTCCCACGAGCTCCCCTGTTTGATGTAGCGCCGTACGCGGTTGTTTTCCTCGTCAGGCGGTATGTCTGGCAGAGAGCAGCGCGGTCGCCGCATTAGATCCTTTGTTGCTGCGTCGACCACGCCAGTCACGGGAATGTGGCCGAACATCTGACCAATACGATTAAATATTAATGATAAATTAACTACTGTTTCACATGAATGTCAGCAATAGTGTTAATTTATATCCTGAAAAATGTCGCTGAATTATAAGACGAGCTTTTTTGAATTTTCAGTGAAAATATCAGTTATCAGTTCTACTGTATAATAGGAATTTAAATAGGTGAGAGTTGAGCTATTATTTTTTTCCATGCATTTAAAACAAGTCTAACACCGTCGAAGCATCGCACCAAACCATTTTTACCTTTTTACCTTAAAGAGATTGAAATGTATACAAAAATGTATTGAGACTACGAAAATTTTTTGGATACTTGATAGTGAGTTAGTGACGACTTGCATTGTATTAAATCGATGCAAACTAAAACTTTGGCGATGAAGTGACATTCTTGGATATTTATATTAGTTTATGCTTCACAAAGATAGTTTTCTTATAAGGTGTCCTGAATTCGTTTTCTGTGAAAGAAGATTTCATCAGAAACTGTAATTTAATTTGGTGCAACTGTTGAGAAGCTCGCGCAATGATTGCAGACAAGGGGATAATACCGACGCGATTAAGCAAACACTGAAAGAACTTGATATACATTTTAATTAGGATGTCTAGTAAATTATTGAATGTACTCAATTGAAATATACGCCATAAGTTTTTCTGCGTATATAATATTTTCTGTGTTCCAGATTCCGAAATTCGAATCCTCAAGGCTGGTACTTCACTAGTCAGAGAACCAACTTTAAATTAAAATTTTGGTTTGACTAATTGATTTAAGACGAGCTGGTTACACATCATAATGATTCCTAATATTTTCAATACACGTTTTTCAGTAACTTTGGTTGTAAATTCATACAGAATGGTCAGGACTCAGGTCGCTGACAAAAATTGTGATGGCTTGTCCAGCAATTTTCGGAGGCTGTAACATTGCTTCAGAGCTAAACTTTCGAACAAAAACAGATAATTGGTATAAGTTTACGAAGTATTTATTGCAATAAAATTTATCGAAGCCTCCCCTGCAACAAAAGTTAACGAAGTCTCACCTGCAATCTCTTCACGGCATCGGTGAGCTCGTCATCCGTCCTAAGATTTCCCATCTCAACGTCGCTCATGGGCAGATAACCGTACTGCATCAGGTAGCGTTGCTGCACATAAACGAAGATGCATTAAAAATACAATTTACTGCAAAACTTATAAACAAAATGAATACACATGAAACAATAAAGTCATGAAAGTCGTAATCACAAAGAGATCAAGCCCGAGAATCATGCTGTTCAGTCAAATGAATTTTGTTTGCCATTGCAACATTGATTTCAAATAACTTAAAATGCCTATATATATAATTCAAATAATCTGGAGCAGAGAAGTCAGCATATAAGTCTGACTAGCAATTAATGAATCATGCAGATAAAGCTATTATAAGATTCCGTGATAAGCGCTGAGTAGAAGTTATTGAATAAATTCCAAGGCAGATGCAACGCAGCTGATTCAAACGTCGACTACTACTCTGGGAAACTTATGCAACTTTTGTGCCTGCACTGTTTGCGGAACAAATGACACATTAATATATTTTTTTGGATGGATGACAGTTTAGTACGGACTGCACAGGAAACCATGAAAAACTGTATCCTTAATGATGCACAAGCCCCGAGCACAAATGGAGAACGGAAGCGTTTTTTTCTAAAGAGATTTGGCGAGCACAACGCGCGTCCATGACAGAGAAGGATGAACGCTTTTATCATTACTGGAAGCGATGGAGCTGGATAACTAAAGTAAACATTTGATGAACAAGGATTGTGTCTACAGAGTATGTCTACTAGAATTAACGCTAAATATCGTCAACATCCTTCACTATGAAAACTTCGGTTTATTTCAAAAAATTTGCATCATTCAATTTGATCTACATATTGGCCATCGTGCAAGTAAATTTTGTGTATTTTTTAAATCCTGAACAAATTAATGTTTTGTATGTAAATTTAAGTACAAAACATTGTTACTAGATTGAAAATTTAATTTTCATAAATTGAAATTTAAAAATTTATGAAATTTGGCGGTATTTTCGTACAGATAGATTAAGATTAAACTTGGAACATCGTTACAAAATAAATGTCTAAATTAATAGAAAATTGGTGATTTTTGATATCCAAATTTTAATGTTTGGATGCTTAGAGTTTGTTATCAAGCGCGGGTCATTGATGTGTTTGAAAACAATTCGGTGAATTTTTAATTGCAATACAAGTAATTCATATGAATTGTCATTTATTATTGTACATAGTAATATTTTCAACTGAGGCTTCATGTTTCCACCAGCAAAGCGTACAAAGGTATTTTCCCGAATATTGAATTTTAAGCAAAAAATTAATATCTGCAGATGAGCCGACCAATCAATTTAGGAAAGTGAGCACTCGATACAATATCTCGTGGTTAGCACCAGAGGAACTATATGAACCTGACCAGCCGGGGGTGACCGCAGACTGATCATCGTCCGATCTCATAAATCGCTGCGGGCAACGGACTGGTGATCGGAGTGAAAAATATTTTTACTGAAAATATGTCACTGTGAAGATGTTTCTTCATTTAAGATGATGATTATAGGATTTATTAATGAGCCTTTTTTATTTATTAGGAGATGCTTTTTATACTGCTGTGGAGATGCTTCGTTGCCAAGATATGTCGTAAGAAGCAATGTCATTAAGCTCTGACATTACACCTGACATAACTAATTAGATATGACGTTAAATTACGTGATTGTATCATTTTATCGGGAAATGATCTTAACACCGAGAAAAGCGTGTATTTGACTTCACTGTTAGAAATTTCCCGATAGAAACATGAAGCAAAAATTATAGGTTACAATTAAATGGCTAATAAACCACTTGTGGTGTGATATAGACATAAATCATCTATTATCATCATTCTCGCATTATCATTATTGTCCGATAATTTTCAATATAATTATCTGCTAGAGTGAATGTCAAAAGATTGTTCGCAGAATGGTAGCACGAAGGTGGAAAAAGATGTGGATCTTCATTAAATGCGTTCAGCTAGTAAATCATCAAAGGAATAATTGTGTGCGCTTATTTCAGCATAATTATGGTTAAATGCGACAACGACTGCATTAGATTCTTCATTTTTTTAACTGAGTTTTTCTTCTATTTTCTTTTGCCGACGGAACATCTCACTTTATTACACTTCACTTAATCTTACTTAATTAAACTTAGATGCGTATCATGTCATTATAAATGAGATGTGAGATCAGAGCAGCGATGTGCTGCTCAAGATTGCAGTCGTAAACAGAGGTGGCGTGCAAGCCGCTCTTAATATTCTTCGTAGCTTAGATACGTCGTGAGGTGCTATGACATTATGCTTTCAAGATAACTAATTAAAAGTGACGTGAAATTACAGAAAATAATGATTTTGATGTGAATTAAATACATATGTATTTGATTAATTCTTTAAGGAAGAATATGTTTTCGAATGAGAAAATTCGAGCGACATTCTCGATGACTGAGAGTCAAGAAATTTTGAAACAAGCTCTCAGAATTATGGCTGGATACAATTTGCATTGTATTTCCACAAAATAAATGAATTTAAAGTAACCTTCAAATTAGAACTGAATGGAACGGAATAGTTATTGTAAATTGTACTATCACTGTAACTAAATTGTGCCTGTAACTAACGCCAGGCAAGGACTAATCCATGGAGAGACTACCACAAGTTCCCAATTTGGCGCTGATTAAGCCGACAAAAAGACGCCATATACACACGAGCAAAGGTCAGAGTTTGACCCAGTAAAGGCAGGTGCAAAGGTCACTGCCCACTCGCCGCTGCCAACGAGCGAGGCTCTGCAAGTAACCGACCAGCCATTGATCGACATGAACATCCGCTGCCATAGCATGTCAGGCGACCTAAGTCATCCGTCACACGATCATCCGTCACGTGATCATCCGTCACATGATCATCCGTCACATGATCATCCGTCACATGATCATCCGTCACACGATCATCCGTCACATGATCATCCGTCACACGATCATCCGTCACACGGTCATCCGTCACACGATCATCCGTCATACGATCATCCGTCATACGAGCATCCATCGCACGATCATCCGTCACACGATCATCCGTCATACGATCATCCGTCATACGAGCATCCATCGCACGATCATCCGTCACACGATCATCCGTCATACGAGCATCCGTCACACGATCATCCGTCACACGATCTTCCGTCACACGATCATCCGTCATACGATCATCCGTCACACGATCATCAGTCGCACGATCATCCGTCATACGATCATCCGTCATACGAGCATCCATCGCACGATCATCCGTCACACGATCATCCATCATACGAGCATCCGTCACACGATCATCCGTCACACGATCTTCCGTCACACGATCATCCGTCATACGATCATCCGTCACACGATCATCCGTCATACGATCATCCGGCACACGATCCTCCGTCACACGATCATCCGTNATTAAAAGTGTTAAATATAATGAATAATATTAAAAAAATTAATAGTATAAAATAATAAAAATAATAATATTATAAAATAGTATAAAATAAGTACGATCGATTATTAGCATAAAATAAGTTAATAATTTATATTGAAACGTAGTGCAAGTTAATACTGCAAGCGTAAACCAAGTACTCAAATGCTCCTTGATTGATAATTAAATTAATTAGGGAAATTAAACGTCTACTTATAGACTCCTATATAAACTTATTGATCATAACCTGCTCGGCGGCAAGATGCAAGGTGACTTCGATGGCCAGACGCTTTCATCGAAAAGAATTTTCTCAGACCCACGCATGATCGACGACACGCACAAGGATCCGTGTAAACAAACAACCTGGAATTGCGTTCATTGCTCGTGTTTCGTAAAGTTTATATTCCATCCCCGCATTAATTTTTATTCTTCGAAACTCCGATTTTAACTCTGTTGCTTGCGTCTGTCTACTTTGAGAACCATGTCATGGTTTGAATACGAGCTTTTTGTATTATAATTATTTATTTATTTATCTATTTATTTACACTTATTAGGTAATTTATTTGGTTAAAAAACCATATGAGTTTTGATAAACCATTTTGTACCGTAGTATGATCTCAGTTAATAATATCGTTTAGGGTAACCTGCCTGGTATTTTCCTATAGAGTAATGAAAGAAACTATTGTAATACTGCAATTTTCGCATCGTGATCCGAGTAAACATTTCCTGGCCAGACACTGACTTCATATAGGGAGACTGGGGAGCAAATGTTGATGTAGTTACCCAGCCACGTGTAAACAAGGCAGCGCGCCGGCGCGAGGGTTGCTCAGTGTGCGCAGTTCCCTCTTGTGTACGCAACGCTGCTCTCATATCTTACCGATGATTACTGATAAAATTTACGAGAAAAAATGCAAGAGAAATGGTGATAAAATTCAGGAAATAAGGGAAGATTATTTGAAATTTTTGTGAGTATAAATTTAATTATTAGGTTTCTTGGAGAAGCCAAAAATCCTACAGGATGCGAGGCAGCTTCTTGAAATTAAAGTATTTCATAGGAGCAACTGGGACATCAGTAAAGAATGAAAATACAGAAGATTTTACTTCAGTTATTCAATTAAATTTCTTTTCTTTATATTGACTTATAATTATATATTTTATATTATATAATATATAATTATATATATTGACTTATTCACCGATATAGATTTATTTTTGATTGTTTTTTGTATTAAACAAATGTTACGAAAAGTTAATAATGGATTACAAGAGAAGACTTCGGCAGATTTTAAAGCTCACGGCTTTTCTCTTTTCTCAATTGATGATATTTGTTATAGACGAACGAGGAAATTGCTTTAGTGTAACGTAATGGCTTCTTGATTGCGTGAGTGTCTTCATCTATCTCGGCAAAATAGGTTTCCTCCGAATGCAGACGCAGTCTATCGAACAGCTCTTAAAGTTGATCAGCTCAATCAGTAAATTTTGTTCAGAAGGTCAGGAGAAGACAAAATGATTAAAATTTAAAGTCTTAAAATCATGTTTTTATCAAAACATTTTACCAAATTTCAGAAGCGACAGTTATAATATCAGTTATATAGTTATAACTTATAACTTTATTCCTGGAAAACTCTACGGACTCTGC